AAAAAAACCAACATACCTCATAGTAGAAAGTGTTTTCCGAAATAACACTCATATATGACTTGCATCTAGATTTATTTTTGTATTTCAGGCTTCAGGGGAGCTTTTTATGAGATGGATTATTTCAAGCACAATGGTTAAGCACAGCACAAGTCTATTGTAATGTTTTATAAAATGTAATTAAAGCTAAGAGGCAAACAGTTATTAATGTTATAATATTATATTGGCACATTTTCAAGTTTTGGCTATATGCCAGGGATTCCTGCAGGCTTGGTACCTAGAATATCAAATGCATTTAAATGCAGATTGTTGGGAATGAAGTTTGAGGTGCAAATAATAGTGTCCTTCATTTATCTGATAAGGAAAAAACAAGTACCTAGTCTAAAGTTTTCAGTAGTGTATTTGTGAAATTTCTTCTGATATCATTCTGCTGAATGATATAGTTGAGGCAGCTTTTGTTGTTGGTTTTAGTAACACAAAATCAAGTACTTTAAAAACTTTTTGAAAGATTCTTCAGGGGGAACTTGAGGTTGCATTTGATTTTTTTTTTGTTTGTTTGACTATGTATGTTTGACTTCTTGATGGTGGCTCAGGATTGCAGTACAATTTGATGTAGTAATAAAATTTTAAATAGATTATTCAGAGTTGTTATTTTTCACACTATTTTATAGTGAGTTAACTACATTTTTTAAAGAAGCGAGATAAAAGTTTTTGATTCTGCACTAGTTTTAGTGCAAGTGTACTTAATACTTGCCTTGTCCCATCTTGCTGCAGCTTAAGTATTGAAGCAGAAGGATTTGATGGAAAAAGTGGCTGTAGGTCTACATAATATTGTCAATACTAATCATTCAACAAGAAATAAAGAAACCGTATGAAGAAATTTTTACCAGTAAAAGCAGTAGAAATATGTGCTAATAAAACCTGAACCATGTTCAACAAAAAATGTGGGAATTCAGTATCTAATCTCTACTTTGTTAAATTTTGTTGGAGTTGACAGAGGTTAATAACTAATGGGAGGTTAATACACAGGCTCTGTAATTGTGAACACTTGTACATCATCTTCCCAATTAGGTATTTTGAATCCTGATGCTTTCTTAATATGGAAGGCTTAGTTTTAGAAATTTAGGCCTTATCTTCCTCCACATATATGAGGAATATTTTACTATGTGCCACCATAAATGTTTGATTACATCATCAAGCTCCTCTGCACAGCCCCAAGGGAGCTTGGAGAGGCAATGGCAGGAGGGGGAGCGCAAACAGTACCCTGGGGGGCTGGTCCCAGGCCCATCCCTGGAGCCAGCCCATTGCAGGCCCAGAGAGGCACAGGTGGGACCCTGAATCAAGGACCCGGAGAAAGGAGCACCCTGTCCAGACCTCTGCCAGGGCAGTCGCTGCAGGGCCTCTGCCCAGTATCACAGTGAGTTGCAGAGCAGTTCTGTCCTGAACTGCTGGGACACAGGGAAAACCAGCTTGGGATCCCACAGGACTTATTGTGGGATGTTCAGGGGAGAAACCAAAAGTGGGACAAAGGAGGAGTTTAGGGGGTTTGGGGAGGAACAAGTGTGGGAACAGAGGAGTAAGGGGAGGAAAAGGGCTGGTTGTGTGTAGGCTGTTGGCTGGCCATCCCCTGTACCTGATCAGGGCCATCTGTCCTGCTCCTAATGAAATTCCTTCCTGGCTCTGTTCTGGGTGACGGCTCTCTGGTTGGTGTGAGTGCAGCTGCAGGCCATAGGGTCCCTGTGTCCATGGGGCGTTGACTGGAGCATGTGTGGATGTGTGAGTGTCTGATGGCCAGCAAAGATCAGCCTGGATGAGCTGGTGAATTGGGCTGGGATCAAGGGGGTCTTTGGGTCCCTAAAGGCAACTCTGGGTGTGAGAGTGCCTGTGTCTACAGGGGTGAGAACATGGAAGGTCAGGTGTGGGACCACGGGAGTCCTGGCTGACTCTGTACCTATGGCCTGGCAACAGGAGCCAGGCTGTGGCCTCAGAGGCTCATATGCCTGGAGACTGCGACCCAGGGGACAGCTACTGGGAGGGCCAGCTGCTGGAGGGGTCCACGTCGTGCACCTGTATATATGTTCTTGAAGGTGCACTTCCATTCTACTCTGCCAGATAGGGGAGCAGGACGGGCATCTGCTGCTGCCTGTGTTTGTGTTAGTTCTGAGTGTGTCTCATAGCATATATGGGTGCACTGTGCATTTGTGCCCGCTGGGAATGCATCTTCTCCTGCTCTCATTCTGGGACCTCGGGATGTTTAGCAGCAGGAGCCTCGCCTTGGGCTGTTGGATCTGCTGCGGTGTGTTTTCTTCTAGCAGTGAAGAAGTATTTAAGTATCTACTGAGCACACTTTTTATTCAAAGGTTAATTATCTTTTTAAGCATATTATAAAAATGTTAGGAAGAAAATGCTTCCATATTCATTTTTACCAAATCAATCTTACATTAAAAAAATTAATAGTTCTCTCCTAAAACCTTCTGAAAATACCAAAGCAAGCTGTAAAATTGAAAGCCAGAGAGGTACGGTTATGTGAAACTACGCCTCCAGTGACTTGTGGTTTAGTGCCTTCCCCAGGTAGAGGTGGCATCTAAATATTGAATAGCTCACAATTGATTTTTATTTGATGGATCTATGTAGTGGCTATTGAATTCACACGTACTTGCCCATGGCAAGTTCCGTAGCTTTACTGCATTACGTCAAGGAGTGGGTTTTTTGGTTCTGACCCTTCTGGTTTCATTTCATAGGCCTTAGTCCAGAGACAGGCAAAAATAGTTGTTTTCTAGTCAGGATTTCATAGATGTTTTTTCATTGCTTGCCCATAAAATTTTCCTGGCTCTGACTATTTGTATTTATAGTAAAAGTACTTGTAGCTAAACAATTTGGTATAGTTTCTTTTCACTTGTGGTCATTTGTTTGATTATAGAGGTAAGCTGTTCCCTTTCCCGCTGGTCTTCAAAAGGCTGCTCAACTCAGTGTCTGCTGTTTGTACCACTGATGCCTCCCCTGAGTCCCACTGGCTGGATCTGATTCAGCGGAAGATTTCATCTAACATTCCTCGGCTCCTCAGGATGTTAACTGGAGCTGGCTGTCAGCCTCATGAAGGCTGCAGAGACTGGCTACTGAAACCATCACTACTCGATTGGGAGCATCTCTGTCCTTCATCTGAGTAGGCATTTGCACACCGTGTGGTGCGATGGGATGCTACCCATCATGTGCTGGAGATGTTGGGTTGTTTGCTAGGGGATGATGGGGATGTGCAGCCCATGGGTGGTTCAGGGGAGTCTTTATGGCCAGCTATTGCTGACAGGTGAGGTATCACCAAAGTGGGAGGGAAAGACAGATGGAATGTGCATATCCAGAAATACACCACTCATATGCATTTTGATACTGACTTAGATGCATTGCATGTATTTAGTAACCTGAAGTAGCTGATACCTCACCAAAAGCAGTATGTGGGTATATATACACAGTATATATAAGGCATATATATATGTGGGTATATATAAAGCAGTATATATGACTCAAATCTAGTTTTATAATTTTCAATTGATCTTGTACAAGATCTCAGCTTCACTGTGGGGTCTATCTTGATTCTGGTTTGAGGACTTCAGCCTTTATGGTGTAGTAAAAGTTAAGTACCAAACCAAATTAGAATCATAGAATGGTTTTGGTTGGAAAAGACCTTTAAGATCATCAGGTCCAACCGTTAACCCAGCACCACCCAGTCCACCACTAAACCCTAAGCACCACATCTACATGTCTTTTAAATACGCCAAGGGATGGTGGCTCAACCACTTCCCTGAGCAGCCTGTTCCAGTGCTTGACAACCATTTGGGTGAATGTAATATCCAATCTAAACCTCCCCTGGCGCAACTTAAGGCTGTTTCCTCTCACCCTATCAGTTGTTACTTGGGAGGAGAGACCAGCACCCACCTCACTACAACCTCCTTTCAGGTGGTTGTAGAGAGCGATAAGGTCTCCCCTCAGCCTCCTTTTCTCCAGACTCAACAACCCCAGTTCCCTCAGCCACTCCTCATAGGACTTGCTCTCTAGACCCTTCACCAGCTTTGTTGCCCTTCTCTGGACGCGCTCCAGCACCTCAATGTCCTTCTTGTACTGAGGGGCCAAAAACTGAACACAGCACTGTAGGTGCAGCCTCACCAGTGCTGAGTACAGGGGGATGGTCACTGCCCTAGTCCTGCTGGCCACGCTATTCCTGATAACACACAGGGAGCTGTTGGCCTTCTTGGCCACCTGGGCACACTGCTGGCTCATGTTCAGCTGGCTGTTGAGCAACGCCCCCAGGTCCTTTTCAGCCAGACAGCTTTCCAGCCACCCTTCCCCAAGCCCGTAGCATTGCCTGGGGTTGTAGGCAAGTGTAGGACCTGGCACTTAATGTTATTTGAAGCAGAAATGTGGTTTGTCTTGTTTCAGGTGCACAAAGGATGCAATCATTTCTGGTGATTGTAAGCAAGGACTCTCTGAATTGTGAAATCCCAAATCCTTTGTCAAAACAATGACTCTTGCCTGTTTTCTCTGGTTCAAATACATATTGATGCCTGGGCAGAAAATACCTTCAACTGTCCCTGTAATCCGTTTTCCTTTCTGGAGTACAGCTTAATCTTTTTACTGACATGAAATCCTGTCCTCGTGTAGTTTGGTGTTTTCCACCTCCAGTCTTCTCTGAACGTTGGTTTGAATGCGCTACTATGTAGTCTTCTGAGGCACACCACCTCCTGGGACTGGCTTGATAAAGGCAATGCATGAGCTCTCGGGTATTTTATATCTTAGCATCATAGAATGATTTGGGTTGGAAGGGACCTCAAAGATCATCTAGTTCCCAACCCCCTTGCTGCAGGCAGGGACACCCTCCACTAGCCCAGGTTGCCCAAAGGCCCATCCAGCCTGGCCTTAAACACTTCCAGGGATGGGGCATCCACAGCTTCTCTGGGCAACCTTTGCCAGGGCCTCACCACCCTCACAGGGAAGGATTTCTTCCTCACATCTCATCTCAATCTACCCTGCTTTAGTTTAAACCCATTATCCTTTGTCCTATCACTATCACTCCCTGATAAACACTCCCTCTCCATCTTTCCTGTAGGCCCCTTCAGGTACTGGAAGGCCACAATTAGATCTTCCCGGAGCCACCTCTTCTCCAGGCTCAACCACCCGAACTCTCTCAGCCTGTCCTCATAGCAGAGGTGCTCCAGCCCTCAGATCATCTCCGTGGCCCCCTCTGGACTCGCTCCAACAGCTCCCTGTCTCTCTTGTACTGGTGACCTCAGGGCTGGACGCAGTACTCCAGGTGGGGTCTCAGCAGAGCGGAGTAGAGGGGCAGGATCACCTCCCTCAACCTGCTGGTCACGCTGCTGGACACGCAGCCCAGGACACGGGTGGCTTTCTGGGATGCAAGCGCACACTGCTGGCTCATGTTGAGCTTTTCATCAACCAACAGCCCCAAGTCCTTCTCCTCGGGGCATCCATTCTCCACCCAGCTTGTACTTCTACAGTGCATTTCCTAAAATGACCTAAAGCAGTGCGCAGACTGGGAACTGGTTGGGTGCTTGTGAACAGCTTGCTTCTGATGACCCTTGAAGCTGGAGCAGTCTCTGCTGGGCCCTGTGCTTTCTGCAGTGAAGGTACAGGTGGAACGATTTTGTTCTTGGTTGCAGACGGGACACAGCAAAGTGCTCCTGTCTTAGCTGCCTTTGTAGGTGGTGGTGGTTAGGGTCCAGCACTGCTGCATTCTGGGAAGTCACTGTAGTTAGTACCATGTTGTCCTGCAGTTCTGGTCCTTACGGAAGGGAGATGCCCTTGGCTCTCCTGGTGTACTGGGTGCCTGGTGTTTTCTGGGGTGTTTGTTGGTGTGCTGTAGCATTGTATACTGTGCAGACCAGCCCTGCATATAGCCTTACGACTGTGAAATGATTCCTTGGAGTGGTCACTCTTGACTGGGGAGGGAAGTGAAAAGAAAGTTGACCAAGGTACAGGCCCTGCAAGAGCATGCTGATGCTGTAGTGACGGTTCTCTAAACAGAGCAAAAGAAAGTTTCTTTGTTGCTCTGGCAACTGTTGCTCATACCCACCCTCCCCACTATCTCCTCCTTTGTCCAAATTCCCTCTTGATCCTGTATTTTAGTCCCATGAAGCTAAGGACAGAGCGTTATTTCTGGCATACCATTTGGCCCACCTCAGAGGTCAGTAAAAGCAGATAAATGAAGAATTGTTTGGCAGTCCCCTGTCAACTTTCCAGAGATGCCTGTCTGGAGGGCAGCTTTCCTCACGGAGGAGGTTGTCCCGGCATGGTGCTTGCAGGAACAAAGGAGGGCATGAGTTTAACCAGGTATGCCCAAGCAGCAAAGGCAGGCAGCAGCACAGCTCACAAAGCAGCCCTGGCCTCTGCCACATTCCAGACACTTCCTGCTGGGACTTGTGGCTCTTGTCACAGGCTCCTGTCTTCCTTTTGTCTTGCTGCCTAAGGTCAGTGAGTTTCAGGGTCTGCTCTTTTGTTCCTGCCACTTCTTAGAACCACCAGGAAGCATTTCGTCACTTTTCCTTGTGTTGTACTTCTGTCAGACAAATGTGTAGAAATAAAAACTCTGCAATTCCAAAGTTTGTCTTGTTTAACTTTTTTTTAAAGTGTCATCTTATTTTTACTGTCAACTACACATTGGTAGTGAAAGAGAAATAACATCACCTATTATCTGTATTCCTATTTCTTATTTTAAAAAGTGCCAGGCTCAAATTCTGTTTTATTATGTAACTTCATTAATAGAGAGATAAGGGAGACCATGATACAGTACGTAATTAAATCTCATGGTGCTTATTTGAGGCATTCAGGCATCATAGCCTCATGCTGCCAAATTAGGGGATTTTTGATGCTGTGGTAAGCCTGGACCCTCACCATTGCTGGAAGGCATAAAGTGTACTTTATTTCTTTCTTCTTTTTAAAATACACAGGAACCAATTACAGTTGGAGGCAACGTATTTTTGCCAGCAGAAGGTTCAGCTTTTCATTGTTTAGTAAAACTGTGGTTCTTTGCAAGCCTGTCCTCTTTGGAGAGGGGCATGGTTCTTTGTCCAGTGGACTAGGTGGTGCTATCTTTTTCCAGCAAAGACCTGCAAAGTGTATGTCATGTGCCTTAGAGATGGAGGAGGTGGTTGAATGCAGCTGCCTCTTGGGTGGGGAACAGCAGCTGCTCTTACATTATTAGCTCCAGCCTTGCAGCTGAGGCAGGCAGAGGCTGTTTCGCAAGATATTTTTGTGACCTAATGGTTTTAGTCTTGGTGTTATTATGTTAGTTTGCCACCTCTTCTGGCATGAATTCAGATATCTTTGCCTACTATACTACTGATTCCTTAATTTTATGTAGCCTGATGTTAGTTCAAGTGCAGCAAAAGCTGCAAACTCAAGCAGGTCCCTTTGTCCAGGTTGCCCCTAAGGGATTTTGTAAGCCTGGGAGTCAGAAAATGGTAGTTGTTCATCACACAGTAGTGTGCATAGTAGCCTCAAGACAGGCTAAAATGGAGAGTATCTGCATCTAAGGCCTTCCTACCCACTAGGTGCCTGTAGACTCTCTTCCTGACAACACAAAACCTTGCTGGTTAGTGACAAGAAGTGTTACAGAGCGCAATTGCTCTGCCCATCCCTTCTGTAGCTATTGGAGACACTGTCAAGTTTTGACTGAGGAGACTAGTATTTTAAAGTCCAATACAGTTTATAGCTGTGGGCCTACCAGAAAAAGGGACCTATCTTTGTCCTGCTCTGTCATCCCTCTCTGGAGAACCTAGTGTGTGTTCAGCTCGTGCTTGTTCTGCTCTGCCAACAGATGGTGTGTCTGGGAAACCTTGCCCAGCCCCAGCCTGAGCTTCCTCAGCGGTTTGGGGGGATTTGGTCTGATGCGGTGCGGGGTGGGAGCAAGCTGGGGGTATTGTGCAGGGAGTCAGGGCACACAGACCATGCATTAACTTCGTTAGCTAAGGAGAAACTTAATCTCATGCTGCTTGCAGAGTAACTCCTGAACTAGTTCAAAAGACATGTATCCTTTATAAAAGAGGATCAAGAACCCTTCTACTTTCCCTTGATGTGTTGATGGTGACAATCCAAAGGTGGGGAGCACTAACCTAAGTTGAGCTCAGTTGCTGCCGGAAGCTCATGGATCTTTCTAATTCTACAGCTGCCTGCTTACACATGCATAAGTGTGTAAATCCATCAGTGACCTTCTGCGTATTGCTTGGCTTTTTGACCTTTACCAGCATGGTCTTACAGCAGTACGTGTCTCAAAGGTGGTAGTCCCCAGTCTGCCCGGCCTCCCTTACAGCCTTTTGCCTTTGCAGCAATGGAGAGTGCAGAGCTTGGAGCTGCTGCAGACGGAAGGGAGCCTTTGTGGCCTCATGCTGCATTTGCTCCATGCCTGCATCTTGGGAGTTGCTCTTTGCATTTCTGAGGTTTTGCTTTTTCTGCTGATCCTTCCAAGTAAATAGTTAATCTGTGTTCATCCAGGTGGGCAAAATTGCAAAATAAATAATGATTTACATCAACAGCTGTACCTGTTTTCCTCTGAATGGATGGGTGTACTTGGCAACAACTGCCTGAGCAAAGTAGTTGTGTGAAGTAAAACACCTGTGCAGAGTTTGAAATACAAACATTATTTCTGAGCAAACTTTTATTTACTGGTCAAAGGTGACTATGGGAAGCTTTGTGTGCAATCTACTTGTATAGCTTGTGACCATGCAGGTATGCAAATGCAGCATATGGTTTTGTTCACAATGTGTGTATTTGAGGACAGAATTTATAAATTGGCATATTCACATTTTATCCCTCTTCAAAAGTATAATTCTTCCTCAGTGACCTTTTATTTTAGCTACTTTACAGTCTTTTTGTGTCACATGGTACTGTGATGACGCTACTGAAAAATAAATGTGAACACAAAAGTGTGTGTGTATGCCCCATACATGCAACCTTTCTGTTCCCCAAATCTTATGCTCTGTTGATTTGTCTTCAGAAAAAGTAGAGATATCACTGAAAGTCACCAATTTAGTCTCAAGGTGAATTTACTAAGATTTGGCTTATGTTGTCTTAATGGAAATGCAAGAAAAAAACATCCCTGAGTTTATCTAGTTAACTAGCTGAGTACTGCATCATTTTCTCAAAAGTGTTCCATAACTTCCTCATGGGCCAGAAAAGTTCATAAGGAATGGTAAGTACGGAGACGGATCTTAATGTTGGCAAACTTTACTATCTTTCTACCATTTTATTTACTTTGTGGGAAAAAACAGAGGAGTTTCAGTGCCTTCCAGCTGACAAAATATACTGAATAAGAAAATGTATTGCACTTCTGTTTTGGGTTTGCATGGCAAGGTTTTGGTAGTGGGGAGGCTACAGGGGTGGCTTCTGCGAGAAGCTGCCAGAAGCTTCCCCGTGTCTGATAGAGCCAATGCCAGCCAGCCCCCCAAAGAGCAAACGCCAGCCGCCTCAAGCCCGACCCCGCCGCTGGCCAAGGCCAAGGCAATCAGCGAAGGTGGTAGTGCCTCTGTGATAGCAGAGTTAAGGAGAAGAGAAAAAAACAACTTAGGAGCAGTTTTTGCAGCGAGAGAGAGGAGTGAGAAGGTGTGAGAGGAACAACTCTGCAGACACTGAGGTCAGTGCAGAAGGAGGGGCAGGAGGTGCTCCAGGCACCAGAGCAGAGATCCCCCTGCAGCCCATGGAGAAGACCACGGTCAAAGCAGCGGACCCCCTGCAGCCCATGGGGGTTGATGGTGGAGCAGCTATCCACCTGCAGCCCATGGAGGACCCCACACTGGAGCAGGTGGATGCCCGAAGGAAGCTGTGATCCTGTGGGAAGCCCGCACTGGAGCAAGGTCCTGGCAGGACCTGTGTACCCATGGAGAGAGGAGCCCATGCCGGAGCAGGTTTTCTGGCAGGACTTGTGACCCCGTGGGGGACCCATGCTGGATCAGTCTGTTCCTGAATATCTGTGCTCTGTGGAAGGGAGCCACGCTGGAACACTTCATGAAGGAGGAATCCAGGAAGAAGCAGTTAAAAACCTGCCTACACCACCTGGACACTGACAAGTCTATTGGCCCAGATGGGATGCACCCGAGAGTACTGAGGGAGCTGGTGGAGGAGATTGCCAAGCCACTCTCTATCATTTATCAACATTCCTGGTTAACAGGGGAGGTCCCAGACAACTGGAGGCTTGCCAGCGTGACGCCCATCTACAAGAAGGATCGGAAGGAGAATCTGGGGAACTACAAGCCTGCCAGCCTTTACCTCAGTACTGGGGAAGATTATGGGGCGGTTCATCTTGAGTGCCCTCACCAGGCATGTGCAGGACAACCAGGGGATCAGGCGCAGCAGCATGGGTTCATGAAAGGCAGGTCCTGCTTGACCATCCTGATCTCTTTCTATGACCAGGTGACCTGCCTAGTGGATGAGAGAAAGGTTGTGGATGTTACCTACCTGGACTTTAGTAAAGTCTTTGATACTGTCTCCACAGCGTTCTCCTAGAGAAGCTGGTGGCTCATGGCTTAGACAGGTACACTCTTTGCTGGGTAAAAAGCTGGGTAAAAAGCCCAGAGAGTTGTGGTGAATGGAGTTAAATCCAGTTGGCAGCCGGTCACAAGTGGCGTTTCCCAGGGCTCAGTCTTGGGGCCAGTCTTGTTTAATATCTTTATCAATGATCTGGATGAGGGGATTGAGTGCGCCCTCAGTAAGTTTGCAGATGACACCAAATTAAGCAGGAGTGTCAATCTGCTTGAGGGTAGGAAGGCTCTGCAGAGGGATCTGGACAGGCTGAGACCAACTGTATGAGGTTTAACAAAGTCAAGTGCCGGGTCCTGCGCTTGGGTCACAACAACCCCAGGCAATGCTGTGGGCTTGGGGAAGAGTGGCTGGAAAGCTGCCTGGCGGAAAAGAACCTGGGGGTGCTGGCTGACAGCTGAACATGAGCCAACAGTGTGCCCAGGTGGCCAAGAAGGCCAACAGCACCCTGGCTTGTATCAGGAATAGCGTGGCCAGCAGGAGTAGGGATGTGATTGTGCCCCTGTACTCGGCTCTGGTGAGTACCTTGAATACTGTGTTCAGTTTTTGGCCCCTCAGTCCAAGAAGGACGTTGAGGTGCTGGAGCATGTCCAGAGAAGGGCAATGAAGCTGTTAAAGGGACTGGAGCACGAATCTTATGAGGAGTGGCTGAGGCAACTGGGGTTGTTGAGCCTGGAGAAAAGGAGGCTGAGGGGAGACCTTATCGCTCTCTGCAACTGCCTCAAAGGAGGTTGTAGTGAGGCGGGTGTTGGTGCTTTTAAGTAACTAGCAAAAGGACAAGAGGAAATGGTCTCAAGTTGCATCAGGGGAGGTTTAGATTGGATATTAGGAAGAATGTCTTCAGCGAAAGAGTGGTCAGGCATTGGAACAGGCTGCCCAGAGAGGTGGTGGAGTCACCATCCCTGGAGGTGTTCAAAAAATGTGTAGGCATGGCACTTCGGGACATGGTTTAGTTGACATGGTGGTGTTGGGTTGACGGTTCGACTTGATGATCTTAGAGGTCTTTTGCAACCTTAAAGATTCTATGATTCTAAGAACTGTATCCCATGGGAAGGACTCACTTTGGAGAAGTTTGTGGAGGACTGTCTCCCATGGGAGGGACCCCATGCTGGAGCAGGGGAAGAGTGTGAGGAGTCCTTCCCATAAGGAGGAAGGAGCGGCAGAGACAATGTGTGATGAACTGACCACAACCCCTGGCCACATCCCCCATGCCCTGTCCCCCTGTGCCACTTGGGCAGAGGAGGGAGAGACATCGGGGTTACCCCACCACAACTTCTGATAGCTAAAGGTAGTATTTTGATGTAAGAGCTGACCACTTGTTCCAGTGCAGAAGTGTCTCCCGTCTTTTCCATTAACTCTCTTTTCTATGTTTCTCTGTGAAAAGCAGGTAGTTGACAGTTCTGCACAGTAGCTGAGGAACTGTGCAGAAGGTAATTTGCAGAAGGTGAAGCTGGATTAAATTAGATGAGAATTAAAGTTCAAACTTTTCAGGGGGAAGTTGTCTAATAATGTGAGCAATTTACCAAAGGTTGCAGTAGATTATTCACAATTAGATTTTTTTTTTTTAAGCCAGGATTGAAAGTTTTACTGAAGAGTGTGTTTTAGTTTGGACAGGAGCTGTAGTGGAGGTGAAATGACCTGCATTACTCAGTTTGCAGCAGAGCTGCCTGTGACATGTCTGATGCTGAGGCAGCTGTTATACTAGGTCAGCTACATGGCAGAACCTGTATTTTCTTCCTCATCCTCCTCCTCAGGATTGCCAGGTTTGATCCATTACCAATGTGGCAGTGGTAAATTAAGATCAGTTGGTTTTCATCTCTCTTTCAGTCATCATCTTTCATTTTTAAACCTGGGTTCGCTGTGGTCTGAATGGGACTTCAGCCATTTTTAATATTATAGTTTATTCTGTTTTGTTTTATAGGATCATGGATTTTCCAGGACACTTTGAGCAAATCTTTCAGCAGCTCAACTACCAGAGGCTTCACGGCCAACTTTGTGACTGTGTCATTGTGGTGGGAAACAGGCATTTCAAAGCCCATCGCTCTGTTTTGGCAGCATGTAGCACACATTTCCGAGCTCTATTTACTGTAGCAGAAGGAGATCAGACTATGAATATGATTCAGCTGGACAGCGAAGTGGTGACAGCAGAAGCTTTTGCTGCTCTGATAGACATGATGTATACTTCTACACTAATGCTTGGGGAGAGCAATGTTATGGATGTCTTGCTGGCTGCTTCTCACTTACATTTGAACTCTGTTGTTAAAGCATGCAAACACTACCTTACTACCAGGACGCTGCCAATGTCTCCACCGAGTGACAGAGTTCAAGAGCAGAATGCACGCATGCAGAGGTCTTTCATGCTCCAGCAGCTTGGACTGAGCATTGTGAGCTCTGCGTTAAATTCCACTCAGAGCACAGAGGAACAACCAAATACCATGAGCTCCTCGATGAGAAGTAACATCGAACAGCGCACTACTTTTCCTATCCGTCGTCTCCACAAACGTAAACAGTCTTCTGAAGATCGGGCCAGACAGCGCATCAGGCCTGCTATGGATGAGTCTGTTTCCGATGTGACTGCTGAGAGCGGGCAGTCAGTAGTTCATTCACGGGAAGATTTCTTCTCGCCCGATTCACTGAAGATTGTGGACAACTCTAAGGCTGATGCTGTTGCTGATAACCAGGAGGATAATACTATTATGTTTGATCAGTCTTTCAGTGCTCAGGAAGATGCTCAAGTGCCCAGCCAGTCTGACAACAGTGGAGGAAACATTTCACAGATGTCCATGGCATCCCAGGCAACACAGGTGGAAACCAGCTATGACCAGGAGTCTGCTTCTGAGAAGAACAACTTCCCATGTGAAAATCCGGAGGTCAGTCTGAACGAAAAAGAGCACATGAGGGTGGTAGTGAAGTCTGAGCCCTTGAGTTCCCCAGAGCCTCAAGACGAGGTGAGCGATGTCACTTCCCAGGCAGAGGGCAGTGAGTCTGTTGAAGTGGAAGGAGGAGTAGTGAGCGGAGAGAAGATAGAACTGAGTCCTGAGAGCAGTGATCGTAGCTTTTCTGACCCACAGTCCAGTACTGATAGGGTGGGAGACATCCATATTATGGAGGTGCCAAATAACTTGGAACACAAGTCTACTTTCAGTATCTCAAATTTTCTAAATAAAAGCAGAGGTGGTGGCTTTGGTGCTAGTCAAAACAGTGATGACAACATTCCAAATACCACCAGTGACTGCAGAATGGACAGTGATGCCTCTTATTTGATGAGTCCAGAGTCGGGGCCTGCTGGTGGCCATTCATCTGCCACCGTCTCTCATGTCGAGAATCCATTTAGTGAGCCTGCAGACTCTCATTTTGTTAGACCAATGCAGGATGTGATGGGTCTCCCCTGTGTACAGACTTCTGGGTACCGGGCGGCAGAACAGTTTGGCATGGATTTTCCACGGTCAGGCTTGGGCTTGCACTCCCTGTCAAGAGCAATGATGGGCTCAGTAAGAGGTGGAGCTAGCAGCTTTCCTGGTTATCGCCGCATAGCCCCCAAAATGCCTGTGGTGACGTCTGTCAGGAGCTCCCAGCTGCAAGATAACTCATCCGGTTCCCAGCTGATCATGAATGGGACCACTTCGTTTGAAAATGGGCATCCGTCACAACCTGGTCCGCCACAGCTGACAAGGGCATCTGCAGATGTCCTTTCGAAATGCAAGAAGGCCTTATCTGAGCACAACGTCTTGGTTGTAGAAGGTGCACGCAAGTATGCATGCAAGATCTGCTGCAAGACGTTTCTGACCTTGACAGACTGCAAGAAACACATCCGTGTGCACACAGGAGAAAAGCCTTATGCCTGCCTGAAGTGTGGCAAGCGGTTCAGCCAGTCCAGCCACCTGTATAAGCACTCCAAGACAACCTGCCTGAGGTGGCAGAGCAGCAATCTGCCTAGCACTTTGCTTTAACCTTCTCCACCCCAGGCCTGAAGGAGGATACCAGTGCAGATGTCTAGTTCCCTGAAGCACCACAGGAACACAAACACTTTTTTTTTTTAAGGCTGCAGGCTCAGAGGCTGCTCTTGTTGGTCAGTGAACACTTAGGTGTGATTGTGCCACACACACAAAGGTCTTGGTTCTGTCAATTGGGGATATTACTGTACCTACCTCACAGGGGTGTTGTGAGGCTTAAACAGCTGTAAGTGAAGAACTTGGAGATCCTCAGAAGTCACACTGTAGATGTGTCAGGTGTTATTATGATGTATGTTCAGGCCTTGGGCTGATGGGGATACAATCCCTACGGCTAAGCAGTTCCTTTGCAGGGCAGAGGGGTGAGAGCGTAGTTATCTCATGAAGTAGCAAGTTTCAAGAATGAGAAACTGAAGTGCAAATTTCCTCTTTTTTTTTTTTTTCTAAAGTATTTTGTAAAAGTGAAAGCATTTAAATAAATGACCTGTAAAACAAGTTACTGCATTATGTATGGACAGTAATGCAAGAGCTGTTCACTGTAACTAATATAGACTGCGTATCTTTGAAAGAGAAAAACAACTTTGGATGCACCTGTCTGACATAATGCTTTAAAATATGCTAATTATAAAAATAGTTCTAGGGTTATGAATGTATGTTTGGCTGTTTTGTAGTAAAGGACACTGTAATGAAGGTGCTTAAATTAAATCCAAGACAAGTAACTTTTGGACTGCCAGATATATGTATACTTTGAATACAGCAAGATCTGGATGTTTGATTTTTTTTCTGTAGAAACTTGTATTAAGTGATAAGTGAAGTACTGTTTCTTGTTCGTGCTATTCTTAGCAGTATTTTAACCAATTTGTATCTCCTATGTTAAAATTCTATATACATAGAAGTCTGAAAAGAGCTTGTCTTTGTCTGCTTTGTTATTTTGAAGGAGAGAGTTAATTTGTGATGGCCTTTTTTACTGTGTAAGATAATCTCTTGCTGTTTCCAGATGCTGGTAGTCAAATCTGATCCCCGTTATTGCGTAAGCATATTGTCCTTTTCTGACACTTTTCAGGCTTTAATTTCCTCCTCTGCTTACTTACTTTACTTCACAACTATGGATTGTTCCTCAGATCAAACCAGTCAGGAATGATCCTCATTTGCCAGATTTATTTATGTCTGTCTATAAAATGTAGTTGTCAAATCCAGTCCTTCCACTTAAAGTAGTGTCATAAATTTAAAAAAGCATAAATTTAATTTAAAAAATAGCACTGTACACTTTGTATAGCAGAAATTCAGTGATTGCTATTCTTCAAGTGAATCGTGTAAATCTTGGTTTAATTTCCTCTTCTTTGATACTATTGTAGCTAATACTGTCTGCAGTCTCTTTTTTTCTTTGTTAAACATGCACGTGAACTGACTACTGGCCTTCAGTCTGTCAGGTTTCTAAATAAAATTTTGGAGCACTTCTGCTGATAAATGTTGCTCTGTCACACAGGAGCTGGGTCAGGGCTACAGCGTGTCCATTCTGCTCAGCAGAGACAGAGGATTTGCATCTCCTGGTATCTAAGCCAGAGAGCAACAGCTTTCCATTAATATTAAAAAATTTAGCAAACCTTCCCCTCTTTATTTTATTCTGTATAGCAAATGTATCCTGTGTGATGATATTCAGCAGTTCTATGGAGTTTGTGCTACCTAATAGTTAGCCTTCTTAAACATCTTGGATTTAGATTTGGATAAACTGAAAATAAAATCCTAATCCACAGTCCTGTAGGTCATTTAGCGGGATGAACTGTCAAAACTGTTGAAGCACGGAAACCAAACAGTCGTTGTCAGACCAAAGGAAACATGGAAATCTTTCTGTACTTGGCTTTATGTGAAGTAGTAGTCTGCTAATGAAGAAATGTGTCTTCATCTGTAATTACACTGCTTCACATTGAAAAAAAAAAAAAAAAGCCAAATGTCTGTCAATATGTCATTTGCACCTTGAGCATCCAAGGTAAACAGGAACATGGAAAAATGATGGGATTAAGTCCTTTAAAATGTTAAGATTTTGTTACAGGACTTACGTAATGGTCATATTTCTGGCTCTTGATTTTATAAGTATTAGGGAAATGTGCTGCATTTTTAAAACGCATTAAGATATGCCACATTTTGTTTAATGATTTTGATATCAGGGGACTAACAGCATTGAACTATACTAAACAATCTCACTGAAACATCAATAAAATGCAGTATTTTGTACTTTAATATTTTCTTGTGTTGCCTTATTAGTAATGTTATTACTGTTTCATCCTCCTTGCATTTCTAGTGTTTTGTTTCAAAAATAGGGAGGTTTTTTACATTTTGTGTGTTCCTATAGCACATCTGAATTCCTTGAATTCTTATGATGTATAGGAATAAAGCATTTATGTAAGGGGATTTGAGTAATTAGGAACTAATATGAGCAGAGAAACATTTAACTGTATTTTAATCTGTTTTTATAAAAATTTTAATGTCATTGTGAAATATCAGACCTTGTGCGGGAGGACTTCTTCTTTCTTTAAGAAAAAATTCAGCTTGGAACATTTTTTGAAGTAGCAACTTCAGATTTCATTATTCATTGACATCTGGTGCATCCGAAGGAGCACACTGCAAACCCAGGAGCTTGTGGCCAGCTTGTTGCTTTCCTAGTCTTCCACTATGAAGCAATATCTCAGAATGGTATCTCCACTTAGCTATCCCTACTGTAAAATGAGAATGTCTTATCTCAAAGCCTGGTAATATTGTCAAAGAGCTTATCACCCCAACTTTTGTTCAAAATTTAACTTTACAAATGCTACAGTGAGATCTCATGTGAAGATGTCAGTATGTTAGAATTATGAAACATCTGAAAATAAACCCTACATTTTTGTGCTGCTGTGTCTGACTTGATTTACTTGTTTATGTTATCCTGGTGTCTTTGCAACAGCATATAATGGATTGACTAAACAAGTAATGCTTGTGTGTTAGCTGATTGGGCTCTTTGTGTTACTAGATCATTTGGCAATGCAAAATAATCCCATTGAAATCTGGGTACACGTGTAGGTGTTTTTGTCAAATGAGGCCAAGGAGATAGTGCTGCCCATGGCCGGCCTCCTGCTTCATGCTGAGGCTTTGCCAATTTTGAGAGGACATGTAATATCTAATTAACAAGTGGGTCCATATTTGGGCCAGTATAAAGTCTTGAAGGGCTGCATTGTCCCATCAGTGCTTTGTCAGCTAATTTGAACCAGCAAAGTGTGGCTGGAGTTACTGTAACAGCTTTGATCAGGCTCAGGGTGGTGTAGTGTCTCATGGAGCTGCTGCCTCAGTGTGGTGGGCTGTTTTCTGGCCAGCTCTCTGCTCTGGAGGTGACATTAAAGATATTTCATGCAGATCATTTGAGATGCCCTGCTGCTGACTGACCTACTTGCAGGGATTCTTGTTCCTGCCACAGCCTTGATGGGAAGGGGCACATTGCCTGCATCTCCCTCATCAGATGAAGGCTGGAAAGCCTTGGGATTCTGGGAGCATCCCCACTTGTGCATGGAAATTATTGACATTTTTCTTCATCTGTATCAGTTGCTTGATGAGTTTGCTGTGTGACTGCACAGGTGGTTGTGCTGGCAGGGGAGCAAGGGTAAGTGGCTGGGTAATGGTGTGATTATTTTTGGTAACAACATCTGAATGCCCATCAGTGACCTCCCAGGTCTGCAGCACAGGCTACCAACAAAGGTTGCTTGGGTGACTTGCTTAATAAAATGTGTTAGTGCTGACAAGACTAAATTGCATGACATGATAGCATAATTCATGTCTTGAATAGACATCAGAGTAGTTAAATAGATTTTAAAAAAGCATAAAAGCAGCAGTCTGTAATTTAAATGCTATATAGCAGTCTCTTAATTTTTCTTAATAATCTATGAAAAGAAGTTCAGTCTGGAGCTTCCTATAAAAGGGAATGACTCTGAACCAATGTAAGATGCTGATTGGTAGAAGCCATCATCATGTAGACATCAGTACTATATCTGTGTAACTGTTTGTTGGAGTGCATGTTTAGCTGGAGCCTTGTGTTCACTTATGCTATGGAACCACTGCTAAAGGCTTGCTGTTTCTGCCAGAGAAAATAGTCTTGGAAAGACTGTGGCAAAGTTTCCTGTTGGAGGACTTGCACAGATGCTAGGCTGTGCGCTCTGTCCTCTGCCGGGTGTTGCTGCCGTAGCTCACTGGCATCAGTGACTTCCAGCACAGTACTGTAATCTCAATAGGTCGATCCACCGGCATCTTGTGCTTGTAATTCAACCTTGTAAAATGCTACCAAACCACAAGAATACCTCTGTTCAGGACGTCCAAGCGAGGGGTCCGTCCCTGGCAATGGTTGTTTAAACATCAGTAGGTACTTTGAGTGCTGATCTCCTGCAGCAAACACTCTCACTTCTGTGGCAGTTTTACCCCCTTTGCTGCTCATGTGTTACGTGATGGGGTTGACCCCTGCAAGCAGCTGAAGAGAGCAAGCATGAGACTCGCCTCCGCAGCCACCAGCCGCCTGTGCCAAGGGATACCGTTCCTGTGCCTCTTCCTTCTGTGCACAGGGCTCTTCCTCCTGCTGCAAGTGCAGTGAATGAAGAAATGGCTCTGCTAGTGTGAAATGCTGCTTCCCCCACAGCAGAGCGAGTGCAAGTCTCCTTGTTTGCATCAGCACCATCAGCCAAATAACCACCAAGACAGGCCACTTGAAAGGCGCCTGCAAAGTAATTATGACTCTGTGCCAGCCTGTAAACAAATACTTGTTCTTAGCAAAAACAAATCATAAAAGCCTGTACTTTACCCAGTTAACAATTTTGGTCCTGGTAGAATATACTCTCCATAAGAGATTATTATTATGATTGTTATTGAAATAATGTTAATATCTCTGTGACATCTGTAAAATCCATAATCCATTGTTATTGTTGCTCTTTTTTTTAATTCCTTGTGGGAAGATGTTGATGCAATGACTGGAGGCCAAGCAGAGCTCT